ACCCATTCACATAAACAAATAATAGAGATGAATCCATAGAAGATAGAAAAACTAACCAAATCAACAAGGCAAACCCACTTATAAGTCCTTAAAAATTAAAAAAAGTTGTAATCTTTGAAGGAAACTACGAATAAGGATGGAAAAACCTAAACTAAAGCTATGACAAGAGTAGGTCTTGCATTCTAATCTAGAAATCATGTTGAAATCTAGAAGAAAAAGTCTAAAAATTGAGGATGCAAACACGTTGAGTGGTTTGTCTGTAGGGCAGGCCATGTTTGTATGTGTAGAACTAATTTTTTCCTCTCTTTTTGTTTTTCACTTTTGCTAAATGGTTTCCCTCATGATTCCTACTTTTGCCTTTGTAAAAACCTGTTGAAGAGGGCCACGTTTGACTACAATTCCTTCCTATCTAGCAACTGGCGGGTTAACTTCAAACAAATCTTCAATAAAATCCAGATAAATCTTCCTCCCTAGCCTTTGAGCTAAATTGGACAAATCTGCTAAGTTAAATCCCCATTTGTGTCCCTCTACTTAAAAAAACCCATTTTTGGTCCTTAAAGTTTGAAATCTGATCCCTTTTTAGTCCCTCAGCTAAGTTTTGATGTTAAATGATGAAAATTTCAAAGTAGAGGAACCAAAAAATGGCTAAAAAGGCTAAAAATAGCCTCAATTTGGTCCCTCTACTTTGAAAAAAAGCCCCTTTTTGGTTCCTCTCCTTTGAAAATTTCATCATCTAATGTTAAAACTTAACAGAAGGACTAAAAGGGGCCAGATTTGAAACTTTAAAGACCAAAAAGGGACTTTTTTAAGTAAAATGACTAAAAAAGAGCTTTTTGCCAAAGTAGAAAGACCAAATTAGGGTTTTAACCAATCTATTATAGACACCTCAAGTTCACAGTGATAGAATTGGGTATGGAATAAGTCCTTCATTTGCCTCCAAGAATAAACTAAGTTCTGAGGTAAGTTGAGATACCAAGTAAAGGCTATCTTAGTCAAAGAGCTAAGGAACAGTTTGAGTTTTAGATTATCATCCCTAGATGCCTCTCCACATTGTATTGTGAAACATCCAATACGTTCAATAGTGGATTGACCAGCCTCTCTAGAAAATAAATTGAATTCATGCACTTTAAAACCCCTTGGAAAAGGATTTTCATGATCCATGATATCTGGGTCAGGCTTCCTATAAGCTAGATGCACCAATGGCCTCAAGGTTGGCTCATTAGACTCTTGTACCAGATCTATTAAGTGATCTCTATTGATAAATTGAGCTAGCAAATTCTGCAAACCACACTAAGGTGGTTGGGCTAGTGGAACTTGTGGCTGGAAATAACCCTAGGATGTGGTTGATGATATAAACCCCTATTTGTTCTCATAGCTGGCAGTATGTACTTATGCTGAATTTGATGGCCATGGTTTGCAACATGGGTAATAGCCTTCATTAGTTCATGTTGTCTTTGCCCTTCACCCATGAAGAAATTTTGTTGCTAAACATTGGGATGAGGATGATTTCTTTGCCCCCCAAGTACTGGGTTTAGGGCTTCTTGAATCTGTTTGGGTATGTCCACAACTAGAAAAGGAACCTCAGTTCCTGGCTATCACACTTGCTCAACTACTTGTTTTGAAACAGCCTGTAATGTTTTGCAACTCTTATCCTTAGTCTCTTGCATCACCCCTAGTGCCTTCTTTAAAAGCTCATCTCATTTCAACCATATATTGCCTTATCACCTCTGCATGATGTCTGGAAGACTCCATGTGGCTCTCAAGGAGTCTCTACATAGTCTGGGTCTGCTCCCTGCATGCTAACTCTAGACGTTCAGTCAAGCTTTTCAGCGCATTACTTGACTTTGCAAAATCATCTCTATGGCTACATCTTTTTCTTTGAAAATTAGATTACCATAAGATCACTCTACAAAAGATGACAAGAAGGGAGGAACAACTAGATCATTCTCACCCTTCGAATGGACTAGACTATCATCCGTATGCCCAACCTGGACTGGCTAAACCTTTTTGTCTCTATTCTTTTTCAATGGCATAGCTCTAGACGCCTTTGGATATATAAACAAAGGATTTGTGAATCGTAACTGATACACCTTAGTGGTCCCACTAGACGTACCAATAAAGGATTGTTTCCTCAAAAATCCTTAGCTAACCATAGCCACATGAATTTGGGTATAAGGCGTGATTTGTCTAAAAACAAGAAAATAGGATTTTCCAAATGACTCTTCTCCTTTCTAACAGTCGACATTCAAAATAACGGGTAGAAAGAACATTTGTGAACTAAAATGCACCTTGAACAATGTTGCAAAACAAAGGGTGGAGTTCTACAAAATGGGTTACTAAGTGCATTGGACACCTTTAAGGACTTTAAACCACAACAATGTAACAAAAGGCTACAAATCCTAAATTAAATGCAATATTCTAAAGTAATGATCCTAAAATGAAATAAATAAAAGAAAGTAACATGTCACAAAAAGAAATTTGTAGACAATAAACTATGTAAAATTGCAAACAATAATTTCAATTATGTAGACCATAATGATTTTTTAGAAATTAAACTAATTACTTACAGACTTAAAATAAAGATAATTAGACTACTTGATTGCTAAAACTGAAAGATAATCTACAAATTGATTAAAGTTAGGAAACTTGTAAAATTAAATCCTAATCTAAAAATTGAAGTTAAACAAACTATAAGTCTGGCAGTTGTGGAGAAATGAAGAAGAGAAGGTAGAAAACATTCAACCTATTCACATAAACAACTAATAGAGATGAATCCATAGAAGATAGAAAAACTAACCAAATCAACAAAACAGACCTACTTATAAGGCTAAATTGCTTCCAATTCCTTAAAAATTAAAAAAAAGTTGCAATCTTTAAAGGAAAATATTAACAAGGATGGAAAAACCTAAACTAAAGCTATAAACAAGAGTAGTTCTTGCATTTTAATTTGGAATTCACTCTGAAATTTAGAAGAAAAAGTCAAAATATTGAAGATGCATACGCACTAGGCGGTTCGTCGTACAACAAGCTGTGTCTGTGCGCGTAGAACTACTTGTTTCCTCTCTTTTTGTTTTTCTCTTCTGTTGGGCAGTTTTCCCATGATTCTTGCTTCTACCTCTGCAAAAACTTGTTGAAAAGGGTTACGTCTAATTGCAATTCCTTCTTGTCTAGCAACTGGCGATTAACTTCATATAAATCTTCAATAAAATCTAGATAAATCTTTCTGAAGTCTCTCCATAATCTTCTAAATAGGTTAAATTTTAACCACCTTTGACTCTCAGCACTATGTCATAATCCATTCAAAACTTAAGCCCAAAATCATCTATAAACTCAACTCAGCCATCACTAAAAATGTAGCCCAATTAATCCTAAAGCACACATGTGACCTTTCTCTCTTTTAATTTATTTTAGTTTGACTACACAATTAACAACAGACACTTAAATTTAAGGAAAAAAAGGGGGGGGAACACCACTAGCTGTAATTGGCCTCCACGCAGGCCGGCCTTTACATCAGTTCTCTTATTTATTTATTTATTTTCCCCCCTTTTCTTCATCCTTGACCTTATTCCTAAACTGTGAGATGGAGATTTTGATTGGATACTGTTTACACCTAATTTTACAACAAATAGAGTGCTGTCACATGTCACTCATGTTGGCAAATATTTTATTGGTTGAAAGTTGGTGTGAATCTTTTCAAATAAGATTGAGTGATTATTTCCACAATAGCAGCAAAATTGTTCCCTTGTTGCGAGTTTCTAGGAGGATAATCAACAGCATAAACAAATTAATCAATTTGTTTTAGATATCACGTTGCCATTGGTTTTTCAGGATGTTGCCACAGATCTCCACCATGCTGCCAATGTGCTATAAATACTCGATGATGAGATCAAGCAAAGGATCGACATCACACAACAAACTCAGCACAATTTCTCTATATGCTCAGATTCATCTTAGTTTCAAGCCCTTTAGTTTAGTTTTAGCTTTACGCTTCAACCTAGATTAGTTTAGCAACTCGGTTCTCCTTTTATCAAATTTGTAATCAAATTTGTAATGGTGAGTTTCATTGCCTTCAGTAATATTTCTTTGTAATTGGATTGCTTCTTTTCTTTTTTGTTTTCCAAGTTTCTTTTAATTTAATCAAATGATATCAACATTTCATTTCATATTCAATTTCATTTCTATTAATTTATATTCCATGCTACTAGTAGATTTTCCTTATTTCTGATTTTATTTACTTTAAATTAATTTATTTTTACTGCAATTAAATTTCATTTTAAAGCTTTGTTTCAACCCAATTTACGTATTTAAAGTTCATTTAGATTTTCAGTAGTTTAGCGATAATTTATTTTACTTGCAGTTTTAACTTTTCTTGATTACATTAGCTTTGAGGAGTACTTGAAATCATATCCAAGGCATTTTGCCGTATAACCCATTTAGTGCAGGAAATTTATCCCTTGTCTCTGTCAATTGTCTGATCTTTAAAGCGCAGTTTATGACGTTCTTCTATCAACTCACAAATTGAATTCCACACTTAGAAAGAAGAAAAGATCGTTGAAAAAATCTTTCTTGTTTTGAGCAAAACAAGTGACACACCATTTCATTTGTCACGTGTCAAGGAAATTTTTTGGGATAACAGATACAAAGTGCCATCCAAATCTTTTTAACAGATTTGAAATAGGATTGAATTTACTCGCAGCCAGAACCCAAAATCTTAATCCTTCGCAGCTCCTTCTGCAAAACCCAGAACCTGATCTGGAGTCTGAATCCCTTAATCAAAATCATCGGCGAGGCTCCGAAATGGCAGAATTCAATGTGGAAGCACAAAGTTTCAAGCTCGCTTCCACTCCAATTCTCCATCGCCACTCTCCCTAAGCCAATGATTCCAGCCTCTATCTGAACTTAATCTTGTCAAGATCCAAAACCCAAGGAGGAATATCCTATAATAACTTAACTTAATCCTCCTACAAACGAGATAAATTGGAACTCAAACGTAACTAACCATAACTAATACATGTTTAATTAACTACTAATATATGAAGAGGCAAACTGAAGATTAAAAACTAATAATATATGAGGAGGCAAACTGAAGATTAAAATTCAAGCACATAGTTTCCCAGGTACATGTTTGATTATTCTCATTTAAAAAGGGAGAAATCTGCATGATCTTATACTAGGAACACATGTAAACACTCAAAATTCAAGGTACTGGGTTTTCGTTGTCACAACTTTTTTCATATCAAATTCCTAAGCACTGGGTGGGAAAATAAGAAATGCACTATTGGTCATCTCAATTTATTCCAACCTGAGATCCTTACTCTTCTGAGTTTTAGCCACCACCACCAGATCCATATTTCTTGCCAAAAAGAATGAGCTGCAACTTGTCATAACCAGCAAGCACACCAGCACCTGCAACAGCACGCAGGATGTTTGCACCAGCACCCTTGAAAAGAGATTTGGTACCCTCATTCTTGACAATCTGCGAAAAGGCATCCAGTGAGCTCTTGTACTTCACTGCTTCTCCAGATGTCATCATCATCCTTCTACGAACTGTGTCAATGGGGTAAGAAGCAAGCCCAGCTCCAATTGTGATACCCCAACCCAGCAAGAAGCTTGCCAAGAAACTATCCTGTAAAATCCAATATGCCAATATTAAGCATTAAGTATCATGACTCCACAAGTAAAAGCAGCACAGGCTAAAACAAGCAAGTTACTTAAGAAAAAAAAAATAGCCGCTTCAAAGTACCTGCAATCCACCAACCAAAACCACAGGTTTAAGAGAATCATACATTCCAAAGTAGAGCCCACGGTACACAATAATTCCAACACATGAGATGTTAAATCCACGGTAGAGTCCAGCAAAGCCATCAGATTGGATAGTTTTCTTGTAAACATCAATCAAACCATTAAACTGTCTCTGACCACCCTTCTTAGCAGCCTTGGCATCATTAGCCAAACGTGTACGAGCATAATCCAGAGAATAAACAAAGAGGAGAGATGAAGCACCAGCAGCACCACCAGATGCCAAATTCCCAGCAAACCACTTCCAGTAGCCATCTTTGTCCTTCTTGAAGTTAAACATTCTCTTGAAGTAATCCTTAAAGGCAAAGTTCAGAGCCTAGAATGCACCCAAAACCATTGAAAAATAAAGCAAAAGAAGTCATAAAACCATAAGAAATTAGAAAATGGAACAAATCTAATACTACTGATCAAGTCAACATACAGTTCACTGAGTAAAATTAATACTGCCTCAGGAAAGCACCTAATCAAACATTTTCAATTTTTTCCCTTTTTGCATGTTGGTGTCAGAGAAGAACACACCTTGTTTTGTAGTTTGTAGTAGCAAATAGAAAAACTAAAAGAAGGGAAAAGAAGTGCTACAAAGACAATCATAGGGTTTACCTGTGTGGGGAAGTATCTGATAACATTAGCAGTGTTCCCTCTCCAAAGAGCAAGTACCCCTTCATCCTTGATAGTTCTAGCAAAACAGTCACTGATTCCCTTGTACGGTTCAGATAATCGACCGGCTTTGATCATTTCATCCTGATTCTGGATAAGCAGTTTAACCCGCTCAATTGGAGCAGCGGCTGTTTTGGAAACAGCTGCAGAAACTCCACCCATGAGGAAATCCACCATAAAGGATTTGGCACCTTTCTCTGCTGGAGCTTGTACAAGTATAGGAGAAAGGGGGGAAGCATGTAGGACCCCAGTGCCTTGCTGTGATGGAAGCAAAGCAGTCTGTAATCCCCCATTGACACATGCAGCACTCATGGAATAATAATTCCGAGCATGCAAATTAGGTGAGAGCCTAGAAACGAAGTAGGACTGTCCATGTATCTTCTGAAATGCTGATGGATACTGTGATCCATCTGCCATGTTTACAATTGAAGACAGTGACCTGCAGAGTATAAAAAAAAAAAATACTATTAAATCAGAGAAGATGAGATTTGGAGAAAGCTCTTTCCATCAAATGTAAAACCAATCCCCTACAAACACCCATTGTGGAAAACAACATAACGACCAACTGTACAGCAACATATAAAGGTCTATTTTATGCATTGAAAAACAAAAATGAAAACAGCAAGATTCAGTATCAAAAATTGAAACAGTGATAACATCCAAACACGAGCCTTCTCATATTAAAACAGGTTATCAACAGCAACCATTTTGCCAGAACATAGACTCAAGTTTAATGTGAACAATTATCGCAGAAAACAGGTTCAAATTACTTTAGAGTTTACTGCCATGCCGAAGGGAGTTAAAATCCCTAAAGAAAACCCATTAGGCATTCTGAGAATGCAAACACATAACACTAGAATTCCTGTAGATTTGCAAGTTATAAATGGAAAATTACTTCTAGAAACCATATAACATTACAAAAGCAACTACAAATTTACTACGAGGCCAAGCACTCAAGAAAATCAACATACACGGAAAAATATATATATATATATATATATATATATGAGATCTACGATTTAATAAAAATAGTAAAATCGGATATTTTTACTTCAAAGTAAGCCAATACACAAAGAAACTGAAAATCTTGACTCCACCGCAACACTCTCACTAAGATTATGATAATACAAATCAGAACAAATCAACAACCAGTCAAAATCTAGCACTTTCCCCTCATTTCCTATCCATCAAATCCGGCTAAAAAGAAAATAAAACGAAATAGAGAGTAAAGGAAGTCGAAATCAGAGATCAAATAGAACAAAAAATGAGAAATAAAGGGATCGAAGACTAACCTAATGGTCGCCTGTCCGGGGTTAAGCTTCCTGAGGAGGAGGAGAAACGAAAGAGACGAGCGGCATTTATATTCGGAGGGGTGGCAGCCAGAATTAAGACTAGGGCTACTCGGTTCATGAGAAGAGCATAAAGACAGATTTATCCTTCCGCCGATTTTGAAATACTATTTTGCCACTAGTCAATTTTATTTATTTATTTTTTTTTTGTATCAGCTTACAACACCCGAAAAATAACACAATTACAATGCAATATAATTGTATTTAGGGCGGTACCATTAGAATAATTTTTTTGCTCTATTTTTTATATAATTTTTATATTATTAAATAAATAAATATATTTAATATCATAAATTTCATATAAATTAAAAAAATTAATTATTTTAGTGACACATTAAATTATAAAAAAAATAAC